ATCGTTTTGAATTTTCAACTGGTGTCGAGCCCCCACGGACTCTTGGAATTGTTTTTCTTCGGAATTTTTTCCGTTGCAATTAGGACTTAAGATAGGAATTTAGGCGCCTTCTGGATTTTGCTGTGCAGCGCTCCCTGCTTACGCACACCTTGCCGCGACAAGATCTGGGTTCGGACTTCTTTTTGTGCCTTAATATTGCACGTAACTGTAAAAGTTTTGACGGGTGTAATTGCAACTGTAATCTTCTCGTTCTTGATATCCTTCGTGTTCTTCGCTCTTCCCGCCTTGTGCTCACCCGCGCATGCACGCCTTCTTCCCTGACCTGATTGGTTCCAATACCTGAATAACCGGATCGATGTGCGGATAGTGGCTCAGTCCCCCACGCCGCGGCCCAGACATGCAGACGTAGGCACTTCCTCTCTTCTCCTTCTCATCACTTGGGGCTAATCCCGTACCTCTCGCCCAAGCATGCACGCTATAAATTCAATAAGCGCGATTAGTTACCTCTAAGAATTTCGAGGTTGGCGCGATCAGTGAGGGTCGGCTAACGAGCACGTTTGGAAGGTAAGTGAGTGTGAGAGTTGGGCGATCCGACGAGCTGGTGTCGGGTATGCGGGGTTGACGTGCGGGGCCGCGACGGACTGTGGCACATGGGCGAACCTGGCTTGCATGCTTGAAGCAAGCGGGATGAAAACTCTGCGTTGATACGCGGCGACGGACTGCCGGTATCGAGAGAGAGAGAGAGAGAGAGAGAGAGAGAGAGAGAGAGAGAGAGAGAGAGAGAGAGAGAGAGAGAGAGAGAGGTTGTGTGGGTACGGGATAAGGTTCTTTTTTTGTTGTCTCCTTCTTCCCCTGTTCATCTGTACAATTTTGGATCCTGGCATGGCCGATTTTGTTGTCACGACCCTCCTCTTTTGAACTTCGCTTGTACATCGTTTCGGATTTTCCTGTGATTTTATTCGGTATACATGCGTGAAATGAATGTAAATTCACTTTTATTAGCGATCTTTTCGGATTTCTAGCTCTGTTTTGCGATGCCTGTTTCGTCTCTAACCAATGTTCACTTGTGAGAACTATACGCTCAGAACTGAGTGAAAATGCTCGTCTTGATGTCTGGGGTCTTGTCGTTAACACTTGGGAGTGCTGTGATGAGTTGATCGTCCTTCTGCGTTACATGTATGGCACGTAGTGATTGACAGGATATTTGCACTTATACTGAACGTTAGCGGAACCAATCTGCTGTTCCTTACGAGTACGCACGCGCACGACCGCGATCTCGAGAAAGCTGAGTCGCCACGTACGCGCTCGTCCGCGTGAGTCAGCCTTAACCGCGTGTAAGAATGCGGGGGATTCGGCTTACTAAACGGACATGGCTGCAAGATCTCCCTCCGGGGTGTCCGACTACGAAAACCTGAGGGACCCGGAATATCGTGAGTATTGGGAAGGCGAATAACTTAGACTACGGGGAAACTTGAGAAACCCGGAATTCCCCTGTCTGACGGAGCACGACCAACTATGCGCGGGGGATTTCCACTGGGCGATAACCAGCGATCCTAGAGGCCCAAACCACCCAAATACGGACAATACTCAATACTACATATCCTCGGGTTTCGTCGTTATCACCACCAACTTCCCCCCCTTCCATCTCCTCCTCCCCTATCACCAACTCACAGTGGTCCCGTGGAATTCCATAGCTCACTATTGGCCCAACCCGTCGTGCGAAGGTTGTCAGCATTACCGAGCGCGCCGAGCTTCGGGAACTACCCGACAGACTCGAACTGAAGCTGAGCGGCGAGTGCACAGCCTCCGTTTACAGCCCGCCTCGGCGGAATCCCGAGCCTGCTACGAGCGGCGCCGACAACTGGCCGAACCGCGCGACCGCCCCCGAAGGCGAAACCAAAGGCGATGGTGATTTCCATTTTTGGGTTTAAGCTGACAAAATTAGGGTTCGTTGGCAGGGGCAATGTTGTTGGGATTTTGTTCGAGAATGCAAGAGTGTTTAGATCTGTCGACGCTGGGGTTGTAGAAGAGTATCCCGGAAACTTTGGCCATCTGCCGTATGCTGCACGACATCTGCAGTTTTCCCGCTGTGCATAAACCACGAGAGGTGGTTTACCTTCCTTCTCATAAGGATTAAAGCGCCAAGGCCCGACCTGCATATCCCCTCTTGCGCTTTTACCCCTGAAACTTGCCACAGGAGATCTCAGTTCCGACCTGAGACTCCACCCCCACTTTCCAAAAATCCTTGGCACACCCTTCTTCGCACTTTCGGGCCCCATCCCACTCCGATCAGGAAGTCGCGCTGGGCGTCAGGTTGGGCGTCACAGTGCACTGTTATTTCTGCGAATTCGGAACTGTGCAGCGGTCACAGGCGCAGTTTTTTCTTTAATTTATTAAGATCGAGCCAGTTTTATAGCACAAGGGCATCGCTCCACTACACAACCTTCTAAACGTATTTTGAAGCTGGAAATGGTCAAGATACGTTCAAATGTTGGATCATGCCCAATGTATCTAAGGTAAGGTTCCGGTCATAACACTCCTCAAACTTCCTCATGATTACGTTAGCTTTGCTAAATGATACTTCGTCGCCCTTCTTGTACCTCACAAAGAGACAGATAGACGAACTGGGATTTCATGGGCTGTGTGGTGAGAGTGTTTGACTGGCCAATCGGGGTCAGTTGTGCTGCTGTCTGTAAAAGTCAGAGGACGGTACTGGAGAAGGGAGTGTATTTCCAGAATCTGCAAGATGATTGCTCGTTTGTCAGTAAACGTCCGGTGGTGGGTTCTTTCATGCACAGAGTGAAGAGATTTACTTCCTTACCTGCTGCCGAGGTTTTTTTCCTGCTGACGCTGAAAATCGAGCTGAGACTACGAGGTTTCGAGGATGAAATTTTTGACAAAGCTCTGGTCAATTTTTCTTCGAAATTTGGAGGGATCGGGGATGATTGGGTTTACCTTTTTTGATAGGGTGGGACAGGTTTTTCTCCCCGAATTCTGGAGGCGCCTGGGCCCAGGTGCCCATGTCCGGGGAGAAAAACCTGTCCCACCCCAAAATTTCATCCTCCGCGGACCAGTACATGGGCACCTGGGCCGCGGGCCTGACACCTCAAATTCTGGAGCCGCGAAACGAAACCGCCAATCTATTTATCAACCGCGGGCGCCGTGTTCTACCTGTAGGCCTCGTTTTCTTGTGGGGGCAAGTTTTGGACTGCAAGGCTGGGGCCGTATACTGGCCCCGGCTCGCTTACGTCCTTACGCCAGGCTTCCTACTCTTCTTCACGCTGATTATCTTTTAAGCCTACTGTCACGTGTCGGGAGGATGATGACGTGTTCCAAGGTGTCCTCTCTCTTCTCTATTGTTTCCATTTCCACTCCTTTGTCCTTCCTTCGTTGAGTCTCTAGCACTCTCTAGAGTCTCTACACACTCTGGAACGTGGTCTATGCTCGTTCAGTTGAGCTATTTAGGTCCCTGTGGGCCGACTCTTGCTTTGATTATGTAGTGATGTATGACGGTATGACGCTGCTTGTTTGATCGTGCAGTTACATAACTGACCGCCGATGTATCTACCGGTAGTCCTTCATGTCCAATATCAAAGTGAATGGAGCGAGGCCCCAAGTGGGAGACTTGCCTCGAGTATCTCGTGGTCTGCGAACGGTAATAGGTGCTGACGCTTCGGGCACACCAAACGAAAAGGAAACGAGTGCATCTGATCGCGAAAGGTGCCGTAATGCACTCGTTACTATGCATAGCAAACCGATGAGCCGTGTCTATTTTCTGTGTGGAAGATGCACTCGTTTTGTTTTGTTTTTCGTTCCGTGTGCCGTGCGGCGGCGGCCGTCGTCGGTTCCCCCCCCCCCCCTGTTCCAAGTCCCATTAGCAGCGTTGAGCTACCTCAACGCCTGAATCTGGACGCTTTTGCGGAGATGTGCAGAAATGGTGTTGAGTTTCCTGAACTGCACGTCTCCTCAAACACGTCCAGATTCGGGCGTTGAGGTAGCTCAACGCCGCTAGTGGGACTTGGCCCCGGAGGGTGGCTATGTTTTTTTCCGTCTCATCGCCGAACACAACGAAGCGTCAGGCGAGAAAAAAAAAAGAAAAAAAAAGCGTCCCACAAAGAAGCCTCTGCTTGTCAAGAAAAAAAAAACAAAACGAAAAACGGAAGCCTCTGCTCTGTGGATTTCTGCGCAAGGGGGCCGTGAACGCCTCTTCGTCAGAGGAGGCTGGCAGTTGGAAAGTGCGCTGTTCTGAAAGGCGATTTCGCGGGGTTTCACCCCCCCCTCTTTGAGCTGATAATTCAGAACTAAATAAATGATTCTGTTGATCTGATTCCATCTGCATTGGAACTTGAGGCCTGTATTTCAGCAGTTCATGGGTGTACCATCTGAGTTACGGTATGCCCGTTGGTTCTGGCGGGGTTTCGTGTGGCAGCAGCTTTGCTATCCGTCTCCACCTCTGGAGGTTGATTCGAAACGGATGCTGACGTGGCACGCACAGGACCAAGGATCACGCCTGAGGAGATCTATCAATGCCCGACGTGGCACGGAGTTGGAGTTGCGCCAGTTCCGCTGAGCTCCGCCGAGGCTGTCGGAAAGCCGAAAGGGGAAGGCGATCTTCCGCCAGTTCCGCTGAGCTCCGCCGAGGCTGTCGGAAAGCCGAAGGGGAAGACGATCGTCCGCCAGTTCCGCTGAGCTCCGGCGAGGCTGTCGGAAAGCGGAAGGGGAAGGCGATCTTCCGTTCGGTCGGTCGGACAGGAAGTCTCGACGCAGGGAGTTATGGTAGTGTGTGCTGGGGCAGCAGCGCTTATCGGTCTCGCTCCACTAGTCTCGAAATGTGCAAGACGAGAGTGAATCTTCCGCTAGAACATGGAAGGATACGTCGCCATGATGTTTGTTTTTTGTGCAAGTCCAGAGTAGTGGAGCGAGGCAGCATGTTTCCTCTTGGAACAGGCTGACGTGGCATCATTACCTGGGCCAAGGTCTGAACGGTATCGGGGTTGCCGGCCGACGAGCGCGGCTGATGAAGGCACCTCGCGGGCAGCTCTGATCTCCCTCCCCTCTTGAAGCCGGGGACCGAGGTTGCAGGCTGACGAGTGCAGCACCCCTTGGTCAGCGCTGACCTGTCTCCTATTGGGGGTAGCAGGCTGACGAGTGCAGCACCCCTCGGGCAGCGCTGACCTGTCTCCTATTGCGGGTAGCAGGCTGACGAGTGCAGCACCCCTCGGTCAGCGCTGACCTGTCTGCTATTGGGGGTAGCAGGCGACAATTACAGTCACATGTAATCATCTCACGCTTAGCGATTCCACCAAATTGGCAGGATGACGTGGCACTCAACTAGAATCTTTTTTGATGTTAGTGGCAGGAAGTGGGGACCACAATAACTCTCTTAGTGGCACTGATCTCCCTTAGGCCATAATCACACTACCGGTAGCACTTTCCAAAATGCATCTGACGGCAATGACGGCCAGACCTGCACGAACCGAGCTGCAATTACGTCCATAGCGTCGAGGAAAAAGTCCTAGCAACGCCAGGAGCGGTTGTTGGTTGGGAAGACACTCATGGGCGGGCAGGGTGGTAGCTACGTGATGATCTGTCGTCTGTGTCAGCAGCTGATATGGCTTCGTGTAGGAGCTGAGGTTGATTCTCTTTTTGATTGCTACGGGCTGCAATTAAGGTATTGAATGCGGTAGAAGCGCTGATCAGCCTTTGACGATTCCTCAACCTAGTTTTGTTATTTTGTCAAGCCCTTTTATTTGGAGCCTATTGTTAACCAGCTATCTACCTACCTATCTATCTATCTATGTATGCATCTAAACAGAGGGCCGTGGGGTGTGGGGTTATCGGCACCATTGACTGAGTGAGTGAAGACTGACAATTGTCTGATTTGCGTTCCTGCTTTGGCCGTGCTATTTTAAGTAGCGATTACAATACCAGTCCGAGCAATGAGGGGATATGGTCACACAGATCGAACGAAAAATGGTCTTGTTGCCGTATGCCATTCCTTTTGTCTGCCGTGTTTTGTCCCGAAGAAAGCTCACGTTCCACGATGAAATAACCGGTGTAATATTTGTCTGGCATGGAGGAGGACAGCTAGAAACGCGGATGACCAGCACCTCCCCCTTCTTCCCCTTCTCCCCCCCCCCCCACTCTAAATGGGTGTACCATTTGTCTGGCCCGCTGTACTGAATGCCCTCCAAGGTGAACTATTACCGATCAACTACGGTAGCTACACCACGTGGTAGGAAGCAATCGAGTGACCACAGGTAGAAGGAGAAGGATCTGCTCTCTATGGACTTAACCATCCATTCATTCATCGGGTTAGGTAGTTAACCACCAATCATCAATCATCATTACGCAGGCAAATCGACTAAGTACCGCTAGGCTGTATATGCGTTCCTTCTTCGTCTCTGTGCGTGCATCACGTAGCCAAGGCGAGTATCAATAAGCGTATTTCCTTTCTGCGTCCTGCCGTCCCAATCCCGCCGTGTGTGGCTGGGATGCTTCTGTTCTGTGGACTTAACCATCCATATCCTTTCATCGGGGGAGACAGATAGCCAATCATCATTACGTAGGACTATTTCTATTTCCTCTCTGCGTCGTGCCGTGCCTCACTCCGCTGTGCCGCTGTGATGCTATGCTCCAGAGATGAGTCTTTCATCGTTTGGCGCCACGTGCTCACGCCTCCTTGCAAGCCAATTGCCTCATCGGCGCAAGTCTCGACCTTGCTACGCATTGGCTCCCGCCATATGCCACTCCTCCTCCTCCTCCTCCTCCTCCTCCTCCTCCTCTCACTCGTCTTTGCCCTCTGCCAACTTGCTCAGCGGCTCTGCTTGCCCGCCTCTCGACACGCGTCTGCGCAGGAGAGGGCCGGGTGCAGACCGTCGCCTTCTGTCTTTAGCAACAGTCGGATTAGCTGATCTGTCGTGTGCGGATAGCTGCCCCGTGGCAGCTCAGTCCGTGCTGCAGCTGGAAGGTGGCATTTGTGGCATCTATCAATCCCCTTTGCCACGTGGCAGCAGCGGCGACGGCGGCAGCGGCGGCGGCGGCGGCGGCTCTAAACGGGACGAGCAAGGACAACACGATCGGCAGCGGATTGAGCCCCCCGCCGCCGAAGGGGAGGGGCGTTGGACCGCGGGCCCGCTGCCGAAGGGGCAGCAGCAGATCTCTTCCTCCGGCGGGACGTGCAGTGTGCATGCCGGCAGCTCAGCCGCTTGCGCTCCTTTGCCACGTGGCAACAGCAGCGGCGGCGGCGCTGAACAGGACGAGCAACGACAACACGATCGGCAGCAGCGGCTTGCGCCCGCCGCCGCCGAAGGAGAGGAGCGTTGGACAGCGGGCCCGCTGCTGCCCCTTCGGCTATCCAAGGGGCAGCACCAGCAGATCTCTTCCGCGCCGCAGCGGATCTCGTCCTCCGCCGGCGGGACGTGCAGTGTGGATATCGCCAGCACAGCCGCTTGTGCTCCAGATCAAGAGACTGCAGACGCCAGGAGCGAAGGTGCATGCGGAGGTGGAGTTGGAGGTAACTCTCTGTCGGGGGGCCATAGCGACAGGGAGGTGCGCGTGCATTCTTGTTCCGCGTTCTCGCGCTATCGCAGAGGACGATCCAGCGGTTCTCCGCTGTCCTGTTCCTTCGCGGGCGCTGCGTCAACGGTGGTGGGCCGCCTGGGTGTACGCAGCGCTTGCGCCGCCGCAGCAGCGGGCGACCGGTCAACCATGCCCGGACTGGGCGATCACCCGGCAGACGGTCGTTGGGTAGTTGCCCCCCGTGACCACCGCCACGTGTCGACCACCAATTCCAAATACGAGGAACGTGAGGAGGAGGAGGAGGAGGAGGGGAGGGGAGAAGAATTGGATACCGTACGACCGTTAGATACCGTCGCCCCGCGGCGGCGCGACGGCAACCAAAGCAGCGAGGCAAAAGACGCATTGCTGTCATCCTCGTCATCATCGTTGTATCCGCCGGTCCGCATGCCGGCGAGGCAATGGAGGGAGGAGCAGAGGCGCGTGCGGGCTGAAGACCTGGGCGACGTGGTCGGGTTGGGCGCTTGGTTAGCCGAGAGGATGCCACATGGCGGCGAGGAGCTGAAAAAGTGGGGTGTCTCTTCTGGTACCAAACGGCTTGCCAATCTATGGACGGAATTGCAGGAAGGAGAGATCACGCTCGACGATGGGAGACCGCCAAGAAGAACGGTTCACGTTGCCAGCGTGAGGATTTTGAATTCCAGAAGGGATGCGACGCTGGTGGAATCACACCAGGAGATGGAGGATGGGACAAGGAGGACCAGAAACAGACCGTTGTCGGAGAAGATGCGCCCGGAAGAGACTGTCGAAGAAGCTGCCTTACGTGGTATAAGAGAGGAGTTGGGACATGAGCTCGGCGCGCCCGACAGAGTGGTGTTTGAGCGGGAAAGCTATCTTAAAGAAGAGGAGGAGAGGGACTCGTTTTCGTACCCTGGATTGATGACTCATTACGTTATTCACACGATGATTGCTTACGTGGACGGTCTTCCGGAGGACAGGGATTTCGACACGGTGGAATACGAGGGCGGCATGACTACGAGAGAGAAGATCGGGCATACCTGGGATGGGAAAACAAGAGATGAAGAAGGAGAAGAGGAAGGAGGAGGAGGAGGAGAAGAAGAAGGAGAAGAGAAAGGAGGAGGAGGAGAAGGAGAAGAGAAAGTAGGGAGGAAGGGACGACGAGAAGCCGGCCACGTCGAAGGTCATACAGCAGCGGCAGCGGCTGTTGAAACGTCGTCGGATAAAGTGCCACTTGGCGTGCGGAAGCATTTCTGGACTTGGATGGCTTTGTCAGGCGAAGACGAGGAAGAGGACCAGATACAGACCGGTACTTCGGTGAGTGATGCGCTGGAGTTAAAAGGTAAGGAAAGAAGGTGACTACGGTTGATGCTGGCTGGTCACGGGCCAACGAGGAAGAAGACCAGATACAGACCGGCACTTCGGTGAGTGAGATTGGAACACCGAAGTTGAGAACTCGGCAGTTTCCAGGACAGGGCTACCGTCTTCACCCGAATAGAACGGCCGGTAATTATCGCCGTATCTGGGCTGAAAGTTGTGCCAAATACGGCTTTAATGACCGGGCGTTGTATTCGGGTCAAGACGGTAGCGGAAAGAAGGAATGGCTTTTGATGGATCGTGGAGGCGGAAGTTAAAAAAGTTAGCAATTTCAGCAATCTGTACGCGATCCCGGTGATGGAGAAAAGGAGGAAGGAGGGATGAGGGGTAGTTGTTGAAGTACCTGTGCGTGCCAGGGAAGAGGACGGAGGGGAAGAGGGTAGAAAGAAAGAATATCGGGGAAAGGGAGAGAGGATAAGAGGGGGGGAAGAGGGGAGAGAGGATAAGAAAGGGGGGGGGAAGGGGGAAGCGGGGAGAGAGGGTCGGTGGGCTACCTAGGCGGAGGAGTGGAGGAAGAAGGGCAGTAGAATGTGGCAGGCACGAAGGTCCCGACGCGAGCAAAGTCTTGTCGTCTGAAGCAATGATGAAGCAAACTCTCACTTGCCGCGCTCTATTGCCTCTGATTAGGATCTGTCTGGTGGGCAGATGAGCATCATGCAAGCGAGACATTTTCATTACACATCTGCATTCGTCTTTTCGATTCGCCGTCGTTGTGACAACCAACGCACAGCCGCCGTGTTCATGCGTAATCATCATCGTGATCATCATGGCCGTCAATTTGCGCAGCTGCGGCCAATCTATCATCATCGTCGTCATCATAATCATCATCGTCATCATCATGGGTGGTGATCATTCATCAAGGATTAAGCAATCAACGACAAGTCAAACCTTTCTGCTTCCTGCTCTTACGTCTTTGGGTTCTCTAATTCTTTGTTGTTGACATCAGCACCGTCTCCGTACGTGCTTCAATTCTCGGGGGTCTTCTTCTTCTCTCTCTCTCTCTCTCTCTCTCTCTCTCTCTCTCTCTCTCTCTCTCTCTCTCTCTCTCTTTTCTTGCTCCTGCCTCTCCTATTCCCTCCGCTCCTGCTTTCTCCATTTTTTTCCCCTTCTTATTCATCCACTCCCATCTCTTCCTCCTTGAGAGGACAATCCTCCTCCTCACGTGCTTACATAGTAGCAAATGATTGTTGATTGTCGATCAACTTGTCGTCAACGATAACGATATCAGAGATAGCCGCTTTGCGCGCGCGATAGTGAGAGAGGATTTTCCTCCGCTGCTGCAGAGCAGCAGATTCAAGACGCGAAGAGGATTCCGGAAAAGAGGAACTGTAGCTGTATTTGGGGTATCTTTCAGTCTAAATACAGCTATAGTGACCCCGTACGTTGCGCAGAAGACCGAGCGCGGGAATGAAGGCAGGGTCATCATATAGCAGCGACGCCACGAAATCAGAATACGCACAGGCAAGATGGAGAACGTAACCGTCCTTTGAAGCGCTTCTTGAAGTGCTGGCGTCGTCTCCCTCGTTCCTTTTCCTCGTTTCCTCTTCCTCTTCTTCCTTCTTTTCTTCCTCCTTTTCTTCCTCCTTTTCTTCGTTCTTTTTCTTTGTTCTTTTTCTTTGTTCTTTTTCGTTGTTCTTCTTCTTTCGCTCTTTTTCTTTCGCTCTTTTTCTTTCGCTCTTTTCTTCGTTCTTACCTTTCCCGCCTAATCCTCTTCGTCTTCTTCTTTTGTAACTACTTTTTCCCCGCTCTTTTCTTCCTCCTTTTCTTCGCTCTTTTTTTTTTCGCTCTTTTTCTTTCGCTCTTTTCTTCGTTCTTACCTTTCCCGCCTAATCCTCTTCTTCTTCTTTTTTAACTACCTTTTTTCCCGCTCTTTTCTTCCTCCTTCTCTTCKTTCTTYTTCTTTCGCTCTTTTTCTTTCGCTCTTTTCTTCGTTCTTACSTTTCCCGCCTAATCCTCTTCGTCTTCTTCTTTTTGAACTCTTTTTTTTTCGCTCTTTTCTTGCTTATTTTCCTCTTCTTCTTTTCCACCTCCTTTGTTTTCTCCTTTTCTCTGCCGGCTCGTCGTCAACTTTTTTCGTCTTCATCTCCCTTCGCTGCTTGCTCTTGTTATTATGCAGAACTGTTCAAACTTTCTAACGTCGTCAACTTTTTTCCTCTTCATCTCCCCGTTCTTCCTTTTCCCCTTCGTGTCAATCGTCTCTCGTTTCAATCGCGCCGTCATCATCATCTCTTTTTCTTCATATCTTCGCTGTTCGCCCTTCCCGACTTACTACAGTATTTTTTTTTTTTTTTTTTTTTTTTTGGGAGTGCGGAGTTTGTCATCCGCTAATTACAAATTTTTAGACATACACTCGTAGGTTCTCTGATTCCTAACTAAGCGTGAATAGGTATATATGTATAGCTTTGTACATATGTGAATATAGGTTTGTGTGTATATGTATATAATACTTGTGTATATGTGAGAGCCAGCCGTTCTTGACATCTGCCTCTTTAGTTGTTCGTTCAACAATATACTTGCTCATAGATATGCCCCTGTCCCCCTAGTTGCTTTTATTCTCTCTCTCTCTCTCTCTCTCTCTCTCTCTCTCTCTCTCTCTCTCTCTCTCTCTCTCTCTCTCTCTCTCTCTCNCTCTCTCTCTCTCTCTCTCTCTCTCTCTCTCTCTCTCTCCCCCTTTGCCCTCCTCCCCTCTCGAACGACTGTTCTCGTCCTTCGGTCCTTCTGTTGCCCTCCCTGTAGGGCGATACTAGTGAGCTCTTCTTCCCCTTGTTCACATGAGAAAGGTTACATTGTGCAAGTACTCTCTCTCTCTACGCCCGTTCAAGAGGCGGAGTTTCTCCTCCCCTCATTGGAGGAGAAACACTCAGGAAAGACTCGGGAATTGTAAGAGGCATTTAAACAATGTTTACGCCCGTTCAAGAGGCGGAGTTGGCAGCTCAGTGAGCTCCTTTCTATTCTATCCAGTTGCTTTTTTCAAGCTTTTGTGGAAAATAAAGAATTGCACTCGTCTTGATTTCTGGGTTCTCAGCTTTCCATTTCCATCTCTCTCTCTCTCTCTCTCTCTCTCTCTCTCTCTCTCTCTCTCTCTCTCTCTCTCTCTCTCTCTCTCTCGCTCGCTCGCTCTCGCTCTCTCTTTGGGGGAGGGCTTTGTATATCCTATGCCGATGAATGCGGGACATGTCGTGGGTTGAGGAAAAGTACGATGACGGGTTTCTTTGGGAGGAAAATAGGAGAAAAAAGGAAATGAAAGAAAAGGAAAACGAAAAGAAAAGCCCTGGCACTGGATGTTTCAGGATTACTGTGAGGACCATGACCGCTTTCACTGTGGTAATGAATTATGAAAGGGTTGTGTGTTATGTTGTGAAAAAAAAAATCAAAGAAGAGAAAAACCTAGAGCCGGGATTAGTTGCCCGTCTCTAGTGAACTGAGTGAGTGGCCTGCTGCCATATCTCTGCTCTGTTGGTGGTCCTGCGGCAACTTTGGTGGAGCGTTTCTACTTTTCGTCATCGATGTTTGTTGGATAACGTTATCACAGAGAATTATATTTATTGAATTTTATTAGTAATTAGTAATCATGTAGTTGTTTTTTTTTTGTTTTTTTTTTTGAACCATGTAGTTGATTTGACTAAGGCCCAGCGGGAGCCAGGCAGAGTTTGGAGAGGCGAAAGGACAGAAAGCTGGGAGCTTGGGATTAATGTAGGTCCCTCCCTGTTCTGCGACCAGCGTCTTGCTATGGGAACATTTGTCTCTGCATTTTGCATCACTGTATGGTTGCTTGTTTTCTTTTGCAAAACATCAGTCTTCCAATTCAACTCGAACAGATAACGGATTAAACACACACACACACACACACACACACACACACACACACACACACACACACAGAGACAGATAACAGAGGCCCGGGGTCCAGGTCCGACTAGCAGCGTTGAGTTGCCTCAATGCCTGAATCTGGAAGCGTTCGTGGAGATGTGCAGGTGAGAAAACTCAACGCGATTTCTACACATATCCACAAACACGTCCAGATTCAGCAGCGTTGAGGAAAAACTCAACGCTGCTACCGGTAGTGGGACTTGGCCCCGGGGAACGCTGACATCACTCCCCGTTGGTATCTGAAACATCATCCAGCGTATCTCATAGGTGTAAACCTGCGAGTCTTCTGAGAGACTGCAGCTCTCAGGCTGCTGCCTAAACTAGCCTACCACCTAACCTCCTAGCTACGTCACTAACTAATATACACCCGCCTCTTAACCGTACAGGATCCTAAATCGGACTGTGGAACCTAATAAGGGTTTGCGAGGCTGCCCCTAGCTTACGACCTAAGATTACAGCTACTCTCTCCAGCCCTTAACACATAGAGCAGGTTATTATTAAATTGAGTCGAATCAGACTTGGCTCAGGATTGTCTGTACTATTTACGAAGGCCCAAAATTTGAGACAAGACAGGGCTGTGGAACTAATAAGGTTTTGCGTGTTTGCAGCACCACTGTCCGGTCCCAAATAGAACGTAGTTCCCCCCCCCTCCCCCCCCTCAAAATTCAATTCAAAGTTCATTATCGATTCAAGAGAAGGCCGGGGTCCTTCACATTCCACCGGGTTTGAATGACTGGAGGCATCATCCAGCTTAGATTACGGGCCGAGGCCTGCAGGTCTCTTTGTCAACAGACCCAAGCAGCTCCGTGGCTGTTAGATTACTCTAGCTTAACGTTCAGAAACTAGTCTAATAATCTACTTGTTTATTGTACAGCCGCCACTTAGCAATACAGGCGTCTAGGGTGATGGCCCTGTGCTGGTCACACTGAGGTGTAATAGTAGAGACAGGGGATGCGCTAGGAGTATTGACGAGAGGATGGGATGGGTGGTGGCCTCGCCGCCTCAGGAAGGGCCGATTTGAGGTTTTGGGCATGGTTCACGTCACACTGCTGTGCCTTTTCAGATGGGAGAAGGGCGCGGCTGTCTCGAGAAATGGGGATTTAGTAGCTGGCTGGTCACACGGCGCCATCCACAAATTGTGCATGAACTTTCGTGAACGAAGTTTTGCCAATCTTTGATGAAAATGCAAAAAAAGAAAAGGGCATTTGCGGTCACCTCCAGAGGTGACCGCAAAATCCCTTGCCCCGCGGCTTCCCAGGCCGCTGACAAATGGGCACAGGAATAGTACATTTGCGAATTTGGTAGGTCCGTGTGACGGGCCTTTTCCCCTTTTTTTTGGGATTTTGGGATTATAGGTTCCCGTGTGAGTATGCCCTCAGAGCGACCACGGCTGACTGCTTCCGGTGATCAATGTGCCTAGTAACTGGCCTCTACAACACCCTGGACTTTTTGGAAAAGAAAAAAAGCAAAGCAATACAGGCGTCTAAAGTCGGGCCTGGGGAGTTATAACAACTCCCAAGGGACTAAAGATTGTAGCCACTATGATACAAAAAAGGCTTCTAACACGGGGCCTTGGAACCTACATGGTTTGGGTTTCCAGGATAATGCTCCCTACCACCACTCTTTCCAACCATCTTCTGCCGTCCTACTGTGGACAGAGGTCCGAGCGCTCAGGTCTAAGAACGTGGGTTTATGCTACCTCTGTTCGTTTCAGATCCTTAAAAATACCATGACAATGCATTCTATTTCGGAGAGGACCAGCCCCTGGGTTATGCTACCTCTGTGTTTGTTTCAGATCGTTAAAAATATTGTGACACTGCGTTCTATTTGGGGGAAGACGTGACCCGTTCTGATTGCCTCGGAGGTTTGTGGCAATCGAGTTAAAGGCTTCCATCAAACTGTACTTAAAGGGTGACAGCCTTGAAGTACCATCATTGAATTGACCGGTAGGCGGTCGCAGGTAAATCACACTTATTTTGTTCATGTAGCTCTGTTTATCAAAACTAGTTCGTGAGTGCACTCAGTGCACTCAGCCACCGGCCGTACTAGGGAGGGCCTCCTTTTCCCAGAATAGTTTTTGGGCGGGGTTCTATTCATGTTTTAGTTTGCAACTTCACAATTATCAAGATCTTGAGCTGGACCATAGCGCGCCCTTGTACACCACTGGTCGTACTAGGGAGGGCCTCCTTTTCCCAGAAGGGTTGACTGCAATAGGGCCAGATTTTTAGCTTCTTGAGATGGCCCAAAACTATTCCCCTTTTAGACCCCCACTACCTTGGAGGGCCTCCTTTTCTCCGAAGTATTGACCACAGCGTGGTCCCCTTTTCACCACTGCCCTTACCAGGGAGGGCCTCCTTTTCCCGGAAGCATTGACTGCAATAGGCGCAGATTTTTCGCTTCTTTGGGTGGCCCAAAACTATTCCCCTTTTAGACCCCCACTACCCGGGAGGGCCTCCTTTTTTTCCTAAAGTGTTGACCGCAGCAGGCCCGGATTTACCCCTCTTGGATGTCCCAAAACTGTACTGGGCCTTGTCAGGCTTGGCAGATCGGGTGTGGAGGTATTCGCGATTTAAACCGCCAGTGCTTCCTAAAGATGTGCCTGTTAACAAACCACAATTTTAGGAAACGTACGGGCCACTACAGGAGCGCCCAAATTCATCCAGCTAGAAACGTTTCTACTCTTATCTTTCTCCGTGGTGGATAGCTGGGCCAAGTTCTGGTGGTTTGACTGAATCTGGGTGATGGTCCCTGTGTGTTGGAATGTTTGTGAGGATCCCCCTGAGCTCTGTTGTATGCATATTCTATTTTTGTGAATAAATGAAAAAGAAAAGAATGGTTAATTGAAATTTATTTATGGGTATGGCTGGAAAGATATGCAGCCCTCTCTTGCCTTGCGAGCTTAGTTAAGTCAAGAGTCACGGGACTCACGTGTGAAGTGTGGCCCTCTATGGGCATCCTCGCCGTTTAACTTAACTTTTTGACCGAATGGGTTAGTAATTGCTGTCAGATGGATGAATCCAGGAAAGTCCCAGTGCGAGTCTGCCTTAGGAATGCCTTTGTCTGAGGGCATACTCCCATCGTGACATTTTCTACTTCTCTGTGGACCCAATACCGCTTAGGTGCATCCTGGCCAGGTCGAAAAAGCGGTCATACACATTTGAGGAAAAGTCCTACCTTCTTCCCCCGAATACAACGTACGGTCATTATAGCTGTATCTGGACTGAAAGATGCCTCAAATACAGCTATAATGACCGTACGCTGTATTCGGGGGAAGAAGGTAGTCTGAGTATGCCCTGAGCGAGACCCACTGGGTCATGGTACCGTGAGGCCTCTTACTAAGGGCATATAATATTTAACTGGGCTTTCCTGAGTCCTGACTCAATTTAGGGGAAATTCCTGTGGGATCCGTTAATCTAGGGGAGCCATAGTCTGTGGAGGACTGTAGCTATTTTGCAGGACTGCGCTGTGCATGCTGGCGCTTCGGGCGGGATGCACCGGGGTGCTATTTCGCCCGAAATCCATCCTGGCAAAACGGGTTGCATGCGAGGCGTGATTCGCCTGGGATGGATTTCGGGCGAATTGGCACCCCGCTGCATCCCACCCGACGCGCCAGCATGCACGGCGCGTTCCTGCAAAATGGCTGGGAAACGTACTGGTGGTTTAACAAACTTGTTCACTGGGAACTAGAGACCTAAACCTTAGTCAAAAGGTAGCTGTCAAAAGGTAGCGGTGAATGGTAAAATAGTGCAGAGTAAAACAGTGCAGTGCAGTTCACAATGAATGATCGGTTTCTAGTAACTTCTACCCTTGCACTCAGTACCCACGTCTGCGCGGCAGCACAGCTCATGCTCACACGGATGACGTTCTGAGAAGTCTCTGATAGTAATCATGGCCAGATTCAGCTGAAAAAGTCTGTGTGACTATGCCATTTTAAGAAATGTTTTCGAGAGGTGTTAAGGAGGACCATCTTACTACGGGTCATTTGGTAGAACCGTTGCTTCAAGACCATTGTTAAAGAGGAGCTGAAAAAAAAAAAAACCTTTGGTGCGCTGCTGTTGTCTTGACTATTTGGGCTTGAGCTGAGGTGGTTGGAAGTTGACCCTTCAGCTTGGTAGAGGGGTAGACCGGGCTTGGAAGAATTGGCAGTAAAGAAGACCCGGGCCTGTTGTAGCACGAATGGGCTGCTGCACGGGCCCTAACGGGCCCGGCTTTGGTTGGCAGCCCCCCGCGCCGCACCGCCCTCTTCATTTCTCGGTGCCTGAGGGCCTGGGTGGGAGGTTCCTTGCGGTGGATGGTTTCTGTAGGAGATCTAGGAGTCATTTTTGGGTCTCAAATTCTCTCAATCCTCCACTCGCCAATCTGACTTGATTTTGGAGAGTGAATGGAGAG